GCCCCAGACCCCCTCCCTGCCCAGACCCCCGGTGGGGAAATCTCGGGTGGGATCCTGCCGGGGGCAGCGCCAGGACGGGCAGGAGCCGAGGCCGGGGGTCCCAGCGCTGGGCTCTGCGCCCCCCCAGCACATCGGGCAGGGTGGCAGAGGGGTGGGGGGTCACCGGCAGCATGTCCCCAGCTCGGTCGGTGGCCCTGGAAAGCTCCTGTCCCCCAGTGTGTCCCCCCCACTCTCCCCAGTGCCCCCCAACACCCAGAGGGGGGCTCTCGGCCCCTCTCCTGCTGGGGCATCGCTGCTGCCAGGGCAGGGGCCGGGTACCACGGGGGGGTGGGGGGGTTCTCCATGTGCTGCGGGACAGCCTGGGGGTCACACAGAGCATCCCGGGGGGGGACGGGGACAGTGGCCCCAACAGAGCCCGGGGACCCAGGGGACATCGTGCCCTGCAGCAAAACAGGGTGTGTGTTCGGGGGCTCAGGGTGTGTGGGGGGGTTAGAACCCCAGAAATGGTTATTTTTAGTCGTTTCTATAAATTATACCTGCTCCATGCACTTCCTCTGCCCAGACACCCCCCCAGACCCCTACCCCCCCTGGCTGGGCTGCAGGGAGGGGGCACAGGAGCATCCAGCTGGTGTCCCCCGGGGAGCAGGGTGGTGATGGGTGCCCGTCCCCGCGGTGGGGGTCCCGGGTGCACCCCCCCATTTCCCCCCCCAGCTGAGGGCTCCTCTCTGCTCTGTGCGCAGGCAAGGACGAGAAGGAGGAGAACAGCTTCGACACCCTGAAAATGGAGGCAAGTATGACCCCCCCCCTGCACCCACCCTGCTCCCTGTGCCCCTTGGTGCCGGTGGCCTTGGGGGGCTGCCCGCCAAGGATGGGGGTCCTGGGCTCTGGGTGGCACCGAGTGGTGGCCGGGTGGCACCCCCCCACCGTCCAGCTCTGCCCATGGGATGGGGTTGCCAGGGCTGAGCCCCCCAGGGCCAGGCTGAGCCCCCCAGGACTGGGCTGAGCCCCCAAGAATGGGGCTGAGCCCCCCGGGATTGGGCTGAGCCCCCCATGGTCGGGCAGAGCCATGATCACGGTGCCCATCATGGTGCTGCTGCAGGTGTGGGCCGTGTGTGTGTACATGTGTGAGCACATGTGTGTACGTGTATGTGCATGTGTGCACAGGTGTGTGTGCGTGCACATGTGTACCGGTCTGTGCTTGTGTGAGTATGGGTGTCTGAGCACGTGTGTGTGCGGGTGTGTGTAAATGTGTATTCACGTGTGTGTGTGTGCATGTCTGTTCATGTATGTGTGTGTATGTGCACATGTGGGGGGGGTGTTTGTGTGTGTGCATGTCTGTTTGTGTATGTGTGTGTTTGTGCACATGTGGGTGTGTGGATGTGTATGTGTGTGTGCACGTGTGAGTACATGTGTGTGTAGGTGTGTGCACGTGTGTGTATACATCTATGTGCGCATGTGTGTACATGTGTATGTGTGTGCACACATCTATGTGCACGTGTGTGCGTGTGTGTACGTGTGTGTTTGTGCACGTGTACATACATGCATGTGCACATGTGTATACACGTGTGCGTGCCCCCCGTCCGGCAGTGCCCCACACCCCTCTC